ACAGCTAACTCTTAAGAAATCATTTCAAATTGTTTTCATGCTTCCAAGAAGGTTGTTTTTTGTTTCCAGATGAGATTCATTCCTAGTTTTCCTTTCACTGTCCTTCATAGTGTAGGTGTTCTTTTATTACACTTTATTATATTACAACGTTGTTTAAAAAACAACCAAAACGCAAGTTAAAACGAGTACAGATGACTATTTATTTAACATTCTGGTTCACAAAGCTTTACAATCCGCTTAAAAACTCGAAGCGGGTTTTCTACGATGAAAGAAGAGAGTTTTACAAGCCAGACGTATTTTTCCCAGTTTTAGCCCGTACACAAGCGGGTTAAAAAATGGCTGACAGGTGACAAAGTACAGAGATAAAACAATACGCAGGACAGCAGGGAGTCTGCTCAAGTCAAACCTGCTCTGCAGAATCTCAAAGAAAGAGCCAAAGGAGAAGTTCAGGACTGACGCCAGGTGAGGCGTGCAGGTGCTGATCGCTTTCTGCCGCGTCTGTTTGGACCCAGAAAAACAAACTTTCAGGATTCTCACATAGGTGTAGAGGATGAGCGCGGCGAGGCTGAGGAGCACAGAGAAGGTGTAGACCAGTCCGTAGACGTTACTGGCCGTCGCTCCGCTGCACAGCAACTTTGTCACATAATAATTAACACACATAACTCTATCGATTACGTTTCCACACAGCCCAGAGGACGCGTTCAGTGAAATCATCACAATTATGTTCAGCAGAGGAATGAACCAAGAAAACAGAACCAGCCTGCTGACTTTGCTCATCTGCATCTGTGTGCTGTAGTGCAGAGGGTGGCAGACGGCCAGATATCGGTCATAAGACATGACGGCTAGGTTATAAAACTCAACGTTCCCGTACATGTAGAGACAGAAGATCTGCAGGAAGCAGAGCGGAACAGAAACGGAGTGAACATCAGAGAGGATCTGGACCAGCAGGAAGGGGAACAAACCCAAACTACCGAACAGTTCGTTCACAAACAGGCTGCAGAGGAACAGGAACATGGGTTCATGTAAGCTCCGGTTCACACAGATCACCACGATCAGCAGGACGTTGGAGCCGATAATGAACATATAAACACACATGATGACCAGGAAGACGCCGTACTTAAACGGGCCGATGTCAAAGTAGGCGCTCAGAGTGAAATATGAAACCTGGGAAACATTCATCCTTAATAACACAATCAGTTTTTGTGAGATAAAGACTTCAGGTAAAGGAAAATTATTCAGAACTGTGAAAACATGCAGAGATATTTTCCATTCCTCCCCGTTCCAGTGAACGTTACGTCCTTCAACTGGTTTCCTGCAGCAGCTTCAGTCTGCAGCTTCAGGTTCTGCTCTGCTGCTTTCAAGAGCTTCAGTTTGTAGTAAAACACACACTCTGCTACACACCTGCTCTGATTGACAACAAGGGCATGGAGACCAGAACGTTTCAAAGATTGCACACGTTTTACAGCAGGTCAGAAAGCATCCAGAAAGTTTGGATGAGCTTCTAGCCTAGGCTAACATCCAACATGGATCATGTTAGCCTAGGCCAACATGTTGGATCAACTTCCAAAACTTCCAAATTGTATTTGGAAGTTAGTGGAAAAGTCTTTCTTGGTGACGATGTCATCAGGTGGGATCTGAACAAATTCTTCTACACTAACTTTATATTTTGGAGGATGGAGGTTCGCTCTGTCCCCACTGATCCTCAGTTTTTAAGCCACATCCACAAACTACGCTGTAGAATTTCCAATGGAAAACGTAACTTCAGTTTTATCTATAGATTTTACATGAATGTGGTATAGTTTACCTTCTTTCTCTAAAACTTGTGAAGAGTTTCCTCTGGTTAAGTTTTTAACCAATCAATGTAATCGGTGTGATTAAAGATAAATACCTGGAGGAGACATTAGTCCTCTAGTCCTGGAGATGTTCTTCAGGTGACAGAAGGCCGACTTTGTGACTGTCTTTATGTGGTTCAGGTCTGAGTCCAGATTTCGGGCTTTTCAATCAAAAGTACAAACTCTTTGTATCCACCTCCCCTTAAAAAAGTTTATTTTAATTTAATGTTTTACAAGGATGTTGTTTTTTAATCTCTTTAGAGAAATAAATGTCTTTTAGGCTCTGTTTGTACTTTAAGATGCATTCTACTCTCAGGGTTTTTTTTATAATATAGCTGGTTCTTCATTAAAAAGTGCAGATTTACAGAGAAGTTGTGAACATAAGACCATGAAAGACAAAAGTTTGACTTTTGTTTGGACCTTTAACTGGGAGGAAATGTTCGTAACTGGGAACTGGATGAGTTTAACTGAAAACTCCTGGTTTAGATGGAGACTTTCTGATGTGTGATGAATGAAATATTCCTGAAAAACGGTTTGACTTAATTTTTCTGACAAATTTCTGTGTTTTTTTTTTTTTTTTTAACAAAAGTGTTTCCTCAGACTGTGAGTCCGGTCTGGACCCGGGAGGATAAACTGGTCCTGAATGTCCTGAAGCCGCCCTGCGGGGCCCATGGGGACGACAGAGTGTCCTCTCTTGCTGCTAATTGTCCTGTTGGTGTCCAAAGCGCCACTTGGGCACCATCCTCTGGGAGCCAACAGCCCTGCTGGGCCTCGTTAGGGTGACATGACACAGTAAACAGGATGCAATCACACCAGTGACCTCCGACTGAGACCCAGCAGCTCAGAGTGGAAATATCTGATGTTTAATGTGCCAGGAAAGTTACAGAAACTCTGACCGTGTCCAAATGGAAAGAATCAGTTTCTCACAGTAACTGGTTTTCAAACAGCTTCAGTCATTGGGTGATCGCAAATATCAAATTAATCAGAAGATTCATGAAAATATGAAAACATTCACTGCCTCCTTCTCTAAGGCTGTTTCCACCTGATGGTCCGGTTGACCCGGTTCTACTGGAACCAGAACTCCATCATCTGCTCCACCTCCAGCTGCTGTGGCTCTGAGTCAAACTAATTTGTTCCCCTCCTGGCCTGTGGGGGCGCTGCACCAAGATCCACTGAAGGAAACGACACAAAACCTCTGAAGACACTGAGAGCAACTTCCTGCTTCACCAGATGGAAACAAGATGGAGGCGTCAGGTTTTAGCGGTTGGAGGATTTCTCTTTAGTCTTTGGCTGAAGGCCAGGAGCCATTTCTGCTGCTAGTGCTAGGCTAACACGTTAGCTTTGGTTTTATTTACCCAGATTTCCTTGCATTGCAGTCCACTTCCTGCTTTTGGAGCGGTCTCCGGTCCGCTTGCCGTTCACATATCAAACTGAACCAGAGTTCACTTCAATTGAACCCAAACTGAGGTTTGGAAGACCAGAGGTCAGAGGTCGATTAATGTTCACACATCACCAAACAGTTTGTAAAAAAGGACTGGAGTTGGATTACACCGGATTATGAATGATGCACCCTAAATTAGTCACATTAGGCCTTTCTCCCGTTGGGTCAGTGCAGATCGAGCTGAACGCTGGTCTGGCGTTAGCTCTGTTCCCCTAAAGAAAAACAGAAAACTGTTCTGGGTTCGAGCTCTGAGGCGATGTTGGTGAGTTAGTACGTTCTCCCTGTACCTGTACGCCTTTGACCCGCTTTGTCCCGCTTCCTCACAAATATGAATATTACATGAACTACCTGAACCCAGAAATGATTTCTACATTTCACACTACAGTAAACATTTCATTTCCTGCAGTTATCTTCATGTCACAACTAAAATGTGTTCTGTCATTGTGCACAACGAGGTTTATTAGCTGCTGTAATGTAAGATTTAGGATATCTCCCCAGGTTTAAGTGGGTTTGGACAGAATCTGTTTTCCACAAACTCTGAGAAGCTATGACAAAGGGAACGTCCTGAGATGACTCGGCATCTTTTTGTCTTGACCAGTAGAGCTGAATAAATATCCATCCATCTTCTTGCAAAAAGTTTAGTAATGAATCTAAAATAATACAGTATGGACCAACTTGACACAGAGCTGACTGGCTCAGGTGTATTGAAGCAGGGGAGGTGATGACAGAACAGGAAGCAGATCAGCGAACCACCACTGAAAAGAGCTGAATAAAGATAAAAACCAAATACTAGAGCAATGCAAGGAATCGTAAACAACTGAATATGAAAAACAAAGAATGGACATTAATAAAAAGAAATACAAGATTATGATAAGATTACCAATCATAAAGCTTTGTTGCCTAGCAACATACCAATATCATTTTTGGAAACTGATTTCAAATAAAACTGGAAATGTCAAAATTTCAAAGCTTTTATTTTTAAGAAGGGTTTTTTCTTTTCAAAAATTCTAATACAATTATGTAAAGATGATGTAATTTGCTAGCTGAGATGAATTTTATTAAGTTTTATGTTTTGTCAGGCCTTTCTTCCTCTCGCAGACAGAAGCCTGAACTAAAATGAGAATATCTTTTGTCTTCGGTTGATGTGCATTTTGCTCGGTCAGATGAAGTAGATGGTTTCAGAAACGGTCCGTCAGCTCTGCAGCGTCTCCTGGTTTTAAAACACAAGAAGAAGAAAACCAACAATCCGTTCCTCCAGACGAACGTAAGAAATTTCTGTCATGGATCCAAGACAGGTGTGAAAGTTTTTGTGTCATTACATCAAACTGCTTAACACTCATGGAAAATGTTTCAGTAAAATATGGATTTTAATTAACTTTTTTAAACTTTCCATCAGCAGTTTTAGTTTCTTTGCCCACTATTTGGTTTTATTGGACCCACATCTAAATTTAGTCAAAAAGGAATCTGAAACATTCATTCAGTATTTTAATTTTATTGCTAAAGGCTAAAAAAGCAGAATATATACAGCCATTTACATTTATGCAAGAAGTTTATCATCAACTAAACTATTACTGAACAGCTGTTTGCATGCATTTCTTATTTTTGTCAGGGTGATTCCATACATGATGGGATTGAGAAGAGACTGAAGAATCACAAAGTACAGAGACATGACGATCTGCAGCCCGTTGGGTACGGAGACCATGTCGAATCTGCTCTGAAGGCTTTCAAACAAACAGCCGAAGGAGAAGTTGAGGAGCGAAGCCAGGTGAGGCATGCAGGTGTTGACGGCTTTCTGCCTCGTCTGTTTGGAGCCGGACAGAACAACGCTGAGGATTTTAGTGTAGGAATAGAGGATGGGCAGCAGCGGGACCAGAACTGTGATCACAGTACCAAACAGTCCGTAAATGTTGTTCACGCTGGTGTCAGAACACGCCAAGTTCACAACCAGGTAGTTACGGCAAAACGTGCTGTTCAACACGTTTCCACACAGAGTCAGACGGACGGTCAGCAACAGAGTGATGAGAAACTTCACAAAGGAGTACAGCCAGGTCAGAATAATCACAAAAATAACCTTATGATGCGTCATTACGGCGTGATACTGGAGAGGACAGCAGATGGCGAGGTACCGGTCATAAGACATGACGGCTAAATTACAAAACTCAGTATTTACGTAAGAGTAAAGACAGAAGATCTGCAGGAAGCAGAGCGGAGCTGAAACGATGTGAACGTCAGAGAGGATCTGGACCAGCAGGAAGGGAAGCAAGCCTGAGCTGCCGTACAGTTCGTTCACCAGCAGGCTGCAGAGGAGCAGGAACATGGGTTCATGTAAGCTCCGGTTCACACAGATCACCGCGATCAGCAGGACGTTGACTGCAACAATTATCAGGTATAATACCACAGTTATCAGGAAGCACAAGTACCGCCATCTTCCAACGTCCACATACGCTGCGAGAATGAAATAAGTCAGAGCTGAAGAAGTGGAGTTCAGCATGGCTCATTCAGGGAGAAAGCAAGAAAAAGAAATTGATGAATTATAAGTCTAATTATGCCCTTTGCATAATGAGAACAAACACATTTAACTTCTTACAAATTCTGTAAAACTGGAAAAAGAGCAAGTTAAAAACTGAGTAACAGCATCATGAGCTGAGCTCCTTTATTTTTACTCATTTAGTAAATGAGGGGCAGTCCAGGTGAGCTGAACCTCAGTCTAACTGTTGGCTGCCTCAACGCCTGCAGCTTTTTATTTCCTCACACTGAGTGATGACCAGGCCCATGTTGTTCTCTGATTGCCTGGTTGCATTTATTCCCAGAGCAACGCAACATTATGGAATGAAACCATTTTATGTTTCTGTAACTTTACTAAAGGAAAGGCAAATTTCTCTCTGTAGCACATTTAAGACAAGTCAATGTTTAATGTCTTATGTGTGACGGTGCGTTAGGGCCAATTTGGATATAAAAAAGGAAGAGTACATTTCCACCAAAAAACTCAAAAATTCTGTGATTAATCTCAGATTTTCCGGAAATAAATCATGGAAATTAACTCGTTATTTGTAGCAGCAAATTGTATTACTGATTTTTTTTTTTTTTCTGATTAAATATGTTTTGATGTTCTCCTTATGTCACCATTAAAATTTCTAACTCCAGTGGTGAGAAATGTGGATTTCAGGTTTAATTTTCCCCCTGTTGCCATGGTGAATCTGCTCCACTGATCAGGTCTTAACTCAGGCTGAGCTGAGTCACCTGGTTGATATTCTGAAACTGAAAACCCCGAGTATCTCAGCTCAGTTTGTTAAACCTGCTTTCTGAAGCGACCCCTGCTGTTTAAAATGAGAACTGCAGTAAATATCTGACATGCAAACAGATGTTTTTAAAGCTTGTGATGGTTTAAACTTGTTGCAGTTAAAACACCCAGGTCACTTTAAAGTTTCATGTTTTCTAATAAAGAACAGGAAAATATACAAAGAGAAATCGGCTTCCTTCTGGCTTCAGTCCGATTACAGTTAACTGGACGCAAGAAGAGAATCAAGCAAATGGAAATAAGAAGAAAGAGGAAAAAATACTAAAATAATTTTGATGTCATTGGTTAACAATGAACACATTACAATGTCCAATTATTTTCTTTATTTTTTACTTTGAGGTAAAAACCGAGCACTGGGGGCGTTTCCAGCCTCCAGCAGCTTCAGACTGAAGGTATAAAGACGAAGCGTCGGCGGTTCAGCCAACAGATCGTCTCTCTGGTCCAACAACCTGCAGGTTTCCGTCTGCAGCTCTTGCAGTTCGACTCCACCTGATGAAGGTTTCCATCTCTATCTTTTGCTCTGTTTGTTGATGTAAATGATTCAGGATCCTAATTACATGATTCTGATGCTTTCTTTAACTTTAAACAGGAAACATTTAATAGTGCCAATTTTGCATCTTGTGACTGATGTTTAATATTTGCTCTCAGAAAAAGGATCACTCACAGTGAAGTCTTCTCTTTCTGCTGCCTGAACTTTTCTTTATTTTCCTGTTCTTCCAGATTCATGGACGTTCTCAGCAGGTGCTTGGTTTGATTGCTTAACTTCTCTTTAACAAAGAATATTTTCAGATGATTCTAAGGAAGTGGTTTATAATTCATGCCTGAAACATATACAGAGAGAATCTCTGTTTATGATCTAATCTCTTCTTATAAATGTTGGTAAGTTTGGTGCTGCTGAGGCTTTAGTTCCCTTGTTTAAGGATCTGCTGCTGATTCTGAATCATTTTCCTGCACTGGCTGCTTTAAGAACATCATTTTTCTGTGAGATGAATGCATCTCATCTTCACCAGGATTTCTGTCTTTCACTGTGTTTCTTCTGCAGTTTTATTCTAAAGAACCAACAGAATAAATTATTGTTTCTCTGCTGGTTCTGACTGACATAAAGCCGACGTGCAGAAGGAGCAGGAAGCTCTGCTGTTTCTCTGATGGTGATTGTTCAAGGAGGATTCTGTCATTGTTTACCTAATAAACTGACAAAATCCCTCATTTAGTTCAACTTTAGACCAAGTTTCCTTCCTGTTTGAGCAGCACTATTAATATGTTCATGATTGGAAAATGTATTCCAGAGCAGGACAGCTAAAATGTTGGTTATTCATTTTACATGGAAAAACCCCGAAAACACAAGCAGAATATTTGTACAAAAAATGTTTGAGGTATTTTTATTTCATTAGCTGATGATTAGCAGTGGTTTTTCAACAAGTCAGTTTCTTGATGCAGTCAATCTGGCATGAACCTGAATTACTTTATGTCCAAACTGCATTTAGGTTTTTACCTCCATATGTAAATTAGATGTTTTTTCTTTTGAAACTCTTTCAGATGATATTTCTGATTATTTACTGCTTTGTACAACAAAATGGACTGAACTGATCTCAATGTGAAGTCAAGGAAAGGACAGTGTTTGAGTTATAAAAACAATTCAAGTAATGCCACCCCATGAAATAAAAATGTAAAAAATTTGACTTTAAAATGTAATAAAACAGCATAATGTAATAATTGATGCATAATGTTGGTCACTGTTACATTTTGCGATGCAGAGGTTTCTCTTTAAAATATAACATAATAATGTGGTGCATTTTGCAATAAAACATCACAAACCAGTGTTTGTGTTGATCTCTCCAGAACCCCTGACTAGACCTTACCAGGGAGGCTTAAGAGTGTGACCCCTCTGTAATTGGAGCACACCCTCCTGCCAATCCAGGGGAACTGCCCCCGGTGTCCATGCAATATTGCAGAGTTGCGTCAGCCAACACAACCCTACAACCTCCAGAGCTTTAAGGAAGTCCGGGCAAATCTCATCCACCACGGGGCCCTGCCACCAAGGAGCCCTTTAACCACTCTGCAACCTCACCGCAGAGTTTGGAGAGCCCGACCCAGAGTCCCCAGGCTCAGCTTCCTCAATGGAAGGCGTGTTGATGGGATTGAGGAGGTCTTCGAAATATTCTGCCCATCGGCCCACAAGGTCCCAAGTCAAGGTCAGCAGCAGACCATCCCCACTATAAACAGTGTTGGTGCTGCACTGCTTCCCCCTCCTGAGACTCCGGATGGTGGACCAGAATCTCCTCGAAGCCGTTCGAAAGTCTTTCCCCATGGCCTCTCCGAACTCCTCCCATGCCCAAGTTTTTGCCTCAGCGATCACCTGAGCCGCATGCCATTTGGACTGCTGTAACCCATCAGCTGTTTCCGTGGTCTCCGAGGGACATGGAGGCCCGATAGGACTCTTTCTTCAGCCTGACAGTATCCATCACTGAAGGTGTCCACCAATGGGTTTGAGGGCACCGAAAACCTTGTGGCCACAGCTCCGATAAGCCGCCTCGACAATGGAGGCACGGAACATGGTCAACTCGGGCTCAATGTCCCTCACCTCACCCAGAACGTGTTCAAAGTTCTCCCGGAGATGGGAGTTAAAACTCCCTCTCACAGGGGACTCTGCCAGATGTTCCCAGCAGATCCTCACAACACGTTTGGTCTGATCGGCTTCCTCCCCCACCACCGGAGCCAACTCACCACCAGGTAGTGGTCAGTGGACAGCTCCGCACCTCTCTTCACCCAAGTGTCCAAGACATGCCGCCGCAGATCCGGTGATACGATGACAAAGTCGATCATCAAACTGTGGCCTAGGGTGTCCTGGTGCCAAGTGCACATATGGACACCCTTGTGCTTGAACATGGTGTTCGTTAGGGACAATCCATGACGAGCACAGAAGTCCAACAACAGAACACCACTTGAGTTCATTTCAGGGGGGCTGTTCCTCCCAACCATGCCCCTCCAGGTCTTACTGTCATTGCCCACGTGAACGTTAAAGTCCCCCAGCAGAACAAGGGAGTCCCCAGGAGGGACACTCTCCAGTACCAACTCCAAAGACTCCAATAAGTGTGGGTAATCTGAACTGTTGCTTGGCGCGTAAACACAAATAACAGTCAGAACCCGTCCCCCCACCTGTAAGTGGAGGGAGGCTACCCTCTCGTTCGCCAGGGTAAACCCCAACATACAGGCACCAAGATGGAGGCAACAGGTATGCCCACTGCTTCCCGGCGCCTCTCACCATGGGCAACTCTAGACTGGAAGTACGTCAAGGAGACTGGTTCCAGAGCCACAACCTTGCGTTAAGGGGAGGCCGACTCTTTCTATCCGGAACCTCTCAACCTCACACACTAGTTAGGCTCCTTCCCCACCAGAGACGTGATATTCTACATCCCAAGAGCCAGCTTCTGTAACCAAGGATCGCATCGCCAAGGTCCCTGCCCTTGGCCACCACCCATCCCACACTGCACCTGACCCCTTTGGCCCCTCCTATAAGTAGTGAGCCCATGGGAAAGGGAACCCATGTCTACTTTTGGACTGTGCCCAGCCGGGCTCCATGGGTGAAAGCCCAGCCACCAGGCTTTCGCCCATGTGCCCCACTTCCAGCCCTTGCTCTAGAGTGGGGCCCCGGTGACCCGCGTTTATGCGAGGGAACACTGACTCCAAAGGTTTTGTTCATCATAAGGGGTCTTCCATTTTTGTACTTTATGATTATGACCAAACACATAATATATTTCAACCTGACATAAATTAATGTATGTTGATTTTTTCCTGCACAATTATTCTGTTTTCTTTTGTAATTTTGTATCTTCAGGTTGGGAAACAAACATGTTTTTGTCATCTCTGCTTTGTTCTTCATTTTGTTGCAGATTGGCTGAATGAAAGCTTTGAACGATGCAGAACGTCTCTTCACAGCAGCACTTTATCCTGAATGGTTTTGCAGAACTGGGCGACCTGAGGCCGGTCCTCTTCGTCCCGTTCCTCCTCATGTTCATCGTGGCTCTGCTGGCCAACTCTCTGCTGGTTTATGTCGTCGTTTCTCAAAGGAGCCTTCATCAGCCTATGAGCATCCTCATCGCCGGCATGGCTTGTGTTGAACTCTGCCTCCCAGTGTTCTTTGTTCCCAACATGTTGCTCAGCTTCCTGTTTGACTGGAAGGGGATCTCTCTGATTGGCTGCCTGGTTCAGATGCACTTCATTCACTTCTTTGGAGCGTTTCAGACCACCTTCCTGGTGTGGATGGCTCTGGATCGATACTTTGCTATTTGTACGCCACTTCACTACCATGAACTGATGGCGCTGCAGAGATTCCTGAAGTTTATCGTCCCACTGGTTGTCAGAAACATGCTCCTCATCTCTCTGTTTGTGAGTTTGGCAGGAAAGCTGTCGTTCTGCAGGAATGTGATGAACCACTGTTTCTGTGAGCACATGGCCTTGGTGGAGCTGGCCTGTGGCTCCACCGCCATCAACAACCTGGCTGGACTGATGGCTATTTTCTTCATTCCTGTTTTTGACTTCTTTGTCATCGCTGCTTCTTACATTGCAATATTCAGCTCTGTGTTGAGATCCAGCAGCTCTGGTGTGAAAGCACTACACACCTGCATCACTCACATCATGGTCCTCACCTTCAGTCTGACCTTAGCTCTCATTGCTTTCCTGTCATATCGAGTTAAAAGTGGACTTCCTGAAGCTGTCCGGGTTTTCTTCAGCACCATGTACCTGTTGTTCCCGAGCTGCTTCAACCCGATCATCTATGGCATCAGAACCACTGAGATCAGGCAGCACATTCTGAACACTCTGACGCACTGGAAACACTTTGTCCAGGTCCTTCCCTACCATTAGAAACCACTTCCACCTCCAGTTGTTCCAAAATAACAAAGATCCTCTGAGCACCTGAGCAAGCAGCTCACACTCCTGGAACTGCCTCAGAGCTAAACCGAAAAATAAATCTCATCCATCAGATCTGACTGGACATCTAACAGGACGAACCTAAACGATACAACGGGGCTGGCATTGAACCGAACCCTCACCTCATTTCCACCAGCTGCACCAAAGAAAAGTCACCAAGCAGTTGGAGATGACATCATCCTTCATCCTGGTACCAAAGACTCGTCAGCCAGCTCGAGTCGTAATACATCCCATCATGTCTCCAACTGGAAACCACTGAAAAAGGTTTGACTCTACAACAGACATCTGGCCTCCAAACATCAACCAGCTTTCTCCCAAAGTGACCCAGAAACGCCAAAAGGTCTTATTGTAGGTAGGTAAAAGGAATCTACTGATTTGGAGAGAATGAAGGTTCTCTGCTTTCTGAGTGACGCCAAGACAGTAATCCCACTGACCTCTGATCAGCCGAACATTGAGAATCTAATCATACACACTGGAGCTAATGGCCAAACGAAATTCAGAAAAATCTCTGCCAGCTCAGTGACCTTCATTGACAACCACAATGTCTTTTGGGAGTGTCATCATCGTTTCAGACAGAATGGAGTCGTTCTTAAACCCTTAACCCTCAGACCTGGAAAATACAATGGAAAAACGACATGTGGGCGTTCCGGTGCATGTTAATCAAGTTGGGAAATGATTTTTTGTTGCTAATCTTTTGATCACTGTTAATGTCAGGCCTCAGACACAGAACAACAATGAGATCACTGTCCCAGCAAACACTGTAGAAGGACAGAAACTCACTGTTCGCAGCCTTGTCTGATCAAGGCCAGGATGGCCCATCTGACGTTTCATCACCTGAACTGATGTTTCTTACCTTAATGGATCATCAATTTCCTCTAGGTACTTCTCTCCTGAGCGCCCAAAACATGTTGGGTGAGACCTGAAAGTCTAGAAAGGAGGTTCTCTCCCAGCCCATGTTGAGGTGGAAGAGTGGATCTGATTACAGGTTTCTGCTGAATTGTTTGTAAAAATGAACTAATTTTACTAAGTGAGTCGATGTTGATTGTACTTTCAAAGTTAACAGAGGAAGGATCAGACAGGGCGACATCAGTTACAGACACACTGGAAATATTCGGCCCTCACTGACGTGTGTTGGCTGTTTGACATGTTGAGTCAAACCAACATTGTCAAGAACATCGCAGAGTTTTTGCCCCTCTGTCTTCAGGCTTGTCAACATGGATGTTCAAATCTTCTACAATTATTAAATAGTCATAATCAATGCATATAAAAGCTCATTAAAGTCAGTGGAGAAATTTTCCACACATTTTGGTTTTATATGAAGTTGATGTCAGAGCTTGTTTACAGCCTTTTACCTCCATTAAATCCTGACATTTGGCAGCAGTGCCATTTCCTGTTAGGTTTTCTATTCTCACTTAGAGAATGTTAGGAGGAGGCGCTGATTTAGTTAGTACAGGTGATGTTTTATTGTCATCCAACCATTTTCTGTCAGGAACAGAACCTCAGTATTCTGCTGAGTGATGAAATCATTAACTAATAATCATTTTGCTGATTGTGATCTTCTGTTTATCAGCACAGTTTCAGTGACTCGGTTTCCAATAGTTCATGAATCTGAGGCTGATTTCAGACCACTGTATTTAGTTTTTCTGTTTTTTGTTAGTTTTCTGTTGATGGTCCGGTCAGGTGCTGCCTCGTATCGTACTGCCAGGGGACCAGATGCATTCTGGGAGAAGACGGTCGCAGACGCCGGTGTCAGAGGTCACTGATGGGAATCGGAGCCAGGTGGGTTAATGACGTTAAGTTTGATGTGTGGAGGCTAAAAAGAGGAGCAGCTAGCACAACTTGGTCCTTCATTTTATCAGTGAAATTAAGAAACTCAATATAATTTTAAAGAAATGGAAAGACGGCCTTCACTTTGGGAGTTGGTGACAGAACCATCCATCCACTCATTATCATTTAAATTTAGAAAATAACTGAGTAGAAATTAAACATACTTTTCATGAATTCCACAATTCTGTATGTTTTAATTGATGCTGTGTGAAAGTCTAATGTTTACTGTTCATTTGCTGAAAGCAGAGAATTATCATGTCAATAAAGTCTTGAAAACATCAGTTCAGTCTGCGAGTAATTGATGTTTATACAGTGTTTAATGAATTCTGCCACTAAAATATTAAACCTTTCATAATTATTGTAAATAGCTGAATATGATTGAGTCTGAAACAACCTAGTAAGTGGGAATGGCAACACAGATCTTAAAGATGAACTTCAATGCAGTTATGATGCATTATTTCATTTATTTACTTATAACAAGAAACAAAACATTTACAGACATGAAGGTTCATCAGGTCTCTGTGATCAACGGCTTATTACTGAACAGCTGTTTGCATGCATTTCTTATTTTTGTCAGGGTGATTCCATACATGATGGGATTGAGAAGAGACTGAAGAATCACAAAGTACAGAGACATGACGATCTGCAGCCCGTTGGGTACGGAGACCATGTCGAATCTGAGGAGCGAAGCCAGGTGAGGCATGCAGGTGTTGACGGCTTTCTGCCTCGTCTGTTTGGAGCCGGACAGAACAACGCTGAGGATTTTAGTGTAGGAATAGAGGATGGGCAGCAGCGGGACCAGAACTGTGATCACAGTACCAAACAGTCCGTAAATGTTGTTCACGCTGGTGTCAGAACACGCCAAGTTCACAACCAGGTAGTTACGGCAAAACGTGCTGTTCAACACGTTTCCACACAGAGTCAGACGGACGGTCAGCAACAGAGTGATGAGAAACTTCACAAAGGAGTACAGCCAGGTCAGAATAATCACAAAAATAACCTTATGATGCGTCATTACGGCGTGATACTGGAGAGGACAGCAGATGGCGAGGTACCGGTCATAAGACATGACGGCTAAATTACAAAACTCAGTATTTACGTAAGAGTAAAGACAGAAGATCTGCAGGAAGCAGAGCGGAGCTGAAACGATGTGAACGTCAGAGAGGATCTGGACCAGCAGGAAGGGAAGCAAGCCTGAGCTGCCGTACAGTTCGTTCACCAGCAGGCTGCAGAGGAGCAGGAACATGGGTTCATGTAAGCTCCGGTTCACACAGATCACCGCGATCAGCAGGACGTTGACTGCAACGTCCTGCTGACGATCCGATACCTGGTATCAGATCGTTTAGCTGCAGCTTTTTATTCTGTGGATGAAGTCACACTGAGTCCCGTCTGATTGGCTGGAAACGTCCCAGATCACCGCTGCCTTCACTGCATCATCAAATAAATCTGGTATCTGAAGCACCGCAGGAAGTCTGTTTGCAAAGCAGGCAGCAAACTTTACCAAAGAAACAGACATGAAATAAAACCACAGGAAGTCATAATCATCTTAGAGAGAAACGTTAAAACGACCAAACTGAAGTGAAGAAAAGCACGAGAGAAATGTGAAACCTGTACCAGCACATCATTTTCACGTGCCAAGACGTCATTCCTAGAGGGTTTTTATTTTCCTTTTTTTAATTTATTTTAGTCTTTTTGTTTTCATTATAATCGTAAAAATACATTTAAAAACAAATTTTGGAAGCTTGCTTTGACTGCTATTTTCTGAAAAGTGAAAAAAATACATAAAAGTAATAAAGTAGAAACATGAGAATGAAGGCACTCTGACATAACAGGAAACATAATCCACTAAAGATCTGGCCAATCAAAAATCAGAAAATCTGAAAAATGACTTCCTGCATCTTATAAAGCGCATCTGAAAACGAAGGTGTTGATCATGGGACCAATGCGGAGAGCTGGACCTGGAGACGAGGAGTACAGCAGCCTGCAGTGATTATATGAGGTGCTCTTCATCAACGGCCAGCATATTTTCTGTCCTCAGACGGCCGTTAACGCCCTGCAGGCCTCAAACACAGAACGACCTCCTGGGGAGCAGAGCTGACCCTCCTGGATTCACCAAACTTCTCCGTCACTCTGAAACTTTCTCATGTCCAGATAAACGTCCCATCTGGGAGAAGAACATTAGTTCCCTTTAAACTCCACTTTCAGTCTGTTCAGTAAAATTTAGTTGTTTAAACTTTGAAACTGTTGATGGGAGTAAATTGTGATGTCAGTGAAGGGGGAGGGGCTTCAGACTTCTGCCTGTCGAGTTCAGGTGAATAAAAGCTGAAGCTCTGCTGCACATGCACAGAGCTGCTGTTCATCTGTTTTAGTTTGGAGAAATTAATGAGAGATTGAATGTAACTGAACTGGTTTTCTGTCACGTTTGATGTTTTTTCTTCACAGCTTTGCATTAGGATGTTTTTACTGATGTTTTAACTCTGAATGTGTTTTCTGTTTAGCAGAAATCCTTTAAAACCATGAAAAACCGATGGAAATGCAGGTAAACTCAAAGTTTCACTGCGTTTCTGAAGCTCTCCTGTTGATTCTGAACTGACTGATGTGAAGTGATTCTGTTTGAACAACTGAAACTGATTTTCCTAAAGTTGGTTTGATTCAAGCTGCTGAACAAAGCAAAGGGTTTGTTTTTCTGTCCGTTTGTTTTTCTGTCCCTGTACAAGCAGATTCTAAAACCAGTGAAATCTGTTTTCTTTGATCCTGAACAAGATATTTGCATCATGAATGTTTCTTGCATGTCTGTTGAACTTTACTTGTACGAAACGTTTGAAGTTGATCTTGAAGAGGATTTTTAGGAAGCGTTTAGATTTTCCTCGGCTGTAGTTTCTGCAGAACGACTGTCTGGCTGCAGGTTAGTTCGGACCACTGAACTAACCTGACCACTGGTCATGAATGAGAACGTTCGTATCGTGTTTGTCCTCGACGGGCTGAACGACTCGCTGACCAACCGTCAGATCTACTTTGCTCTCACACTGACGTCGTACCTCTTCACCGTCTTTGTGAACCTCACCCTCATCCTCACTGTGTGTCTGGATCAAACCCTCCACCAGCCGATGTACGTCTTCATGTGCAACCTGAGCTTCACTGGGATCTGCGGAGCGTCCAGCTTCTACCTGAAGCTGCTCAGCGACCTTCTGGCTGACGCTCATGTCATCACATACACCGGCTGCTTGACTCAGATGTTCATCTCTTACACTTATATCTTCTGCCAGCTCAGCAGTCTGACCGTCATGGCGTATGACCGCTACCTGGCCATCTGCCAGCCGCTGCGTTACTGGGCTCTGATGACTAGCCAGAAGGTGGCGCTGCTGTTGCTGCTCACCTGGTGTCTCTCATCAGTGGAAACGGCTGTGGGCCTCGCCCTGATGGCCAGACTTCGGCTCTGCAGCCACCACATTCCCCGGATCTTCTGCACCAACTGGGAGGTGGTGAAGCTGTCCTGCTCTGACACCTCCGCTAACAATCTGTACGGCATCACTTTGATGTTTCTGCACTCCATGCAGGTCATAGTGATCCTAGTGTCATATGTCCAACTGGTCCGATCCGCCGCTCGCTCTCAGGAAGACCAGAAAAAGTTTGCTCAGACATGCCTGCCCCACCTCGTCTCTCTGCTCGTCTTCTTCGCCTCGCTGCTGTTTGATACTCTGTACTCCCGTTATGGCGGCAGCTCCATGCCGGCGCTGCAGAACGCACTGGCTGCAGAGTTTCTCGTGGTGCCGCCCATCGTCAACCCCATCATCTATGGCATGAACCTGAAGCAGATCAGGTCCCGAATCAGCCTCCGGATCAACTTTAGACCACAGTCATAGAGATGCCTTAAAATAAAATCACAAAACCAAAGTATGCCTGTAAGCAGGTATCAGCGGGTTCCAAGTCCGCACCCAGGACAGTGATTACTGCTCAAAGGTCCCATCAGGATGCATTTTGGATGTAGGAAGTATTTAATACATTTCCAACAATTTATTAAAATTTCCTACTTTGGCTTTAATCTCCCAAAAATATTTCCAGATGACCATGACTGTGTCTGGAACTATGTGAACTGTGATTTCAGCAGATTTCACAATATGGAGTCGATTTTAAAAATCCAATACAATAAAAATCCCTAAAAAATAAAAAATATTCTTTAAAGACCCGTACTATATCTGGGACACTATAAAAAAGTGACCAGGTTCTGACATACCCAAATTATAAACATTCATATTTAATAAAAATGTCATGAAAGAATTGTAAAAAATAGACATATTTAATTATTCAACAAGAAAAATGTGCAACACTTCAGTAAAAAAACTTACAACCATTTATGACAATTTACACGTAGATATATATATTTCAAATATATCATTAAAATTGAACTGATTATAAAATTTGCTCCTGTTTGGTGCATCTAGTAACTACATTTTCTGAGCAAAGGAGTAAACCATTGATCCAGATTTTATTCAGAATTCTGTAGAAGGAACTTTGAAATTATAGTTTTCAAATCTTTTGAATTATAATTCCCAAAATTTCCCAGCATCTGTTAATAAACCAAAGCTGGTTTTGACTGCAGGATATTGTTTAAAACAAGTAGATTCTTTATTTCCAAATCATTAAATTGTCCGTCACGATGACTGATGGAAATCAATAACCTTTTGGATAATTGATTCTTAATTTTACAAGCATTAATAAACATGACTCTCAAATAATGAAGTTTTCTCTTTTGCTTGTGAAATGGTTATTATGAACACATACATTTGTGAAGTGAACATTAATTTGGACTAATTGTTCCTCTGCCTCTTGGTGCTTCAGCATGAATATCCATACTGGTCTGTGATATTTCCACAGATTATTCTGGGTTATTTTATACATTAGTCTTTACATATTTCTGGTGTCAGGAATGCATCATATTCTGGTGCAAACCAAACTACATTAGTCAAAAGTAATTTGGCCCAATTTCCAAACTCCTCTTTAAATCTGGTTTATGTAATATTTACAGTTTATACTGAACTCCGACTTGTTGAACTAAGTGATTTTCAGGCTGAGCATAAGGAAGGGAAGCCATCTTGAAAGGAAGATGGTTACCTAATAAACACAAATGAAGGCCAAACACAAGTTTTCTATTTTATTGTAGCTCAGAGGTTCATTGAAATAAAAGTGAAACTGCAACAGGAAGCTGAATCTTTACCAAAATAAAAGTCTTCAACAGCATCTCATAGCAGCAGGAATTCAGTCCTCATAAATATATTTGCATCTCTGCCAGTAGAAAAACACACAACCTGTCCACATCTAGATAAAGCTTTATACACCGATAAAGGAACATTCTGCGGCTTTTACTGGAACTTCAAGTTTGAACATCAAACCTTTTTCTCACAATTCATCTGCAAAAAATTAAATATGATCAGAGATGGAAAACAATCATGTTTTTGTTTTACTATCAGAAAAAACAAAGTCTTATTTCAGCAGTTAAACACAGGAAACATTTATTCTTTTCATCTATCTAGCATCTAGCACTGAAATCCCAGAATGCACCTGAGTTAAGAGTCAACAAATGAAATCAGATGTTTTAGTTCAATTTCTTTGGATTTTTTTTTTAATGTTGATCAACAGTAAAGCAAAGCAGGAAAACATTTCAACCAATTTCTGCAAACTAAAATGATTTCTGACGAGTCGGCAGAAAGTTTCTAACAGAAATACATTTCTTAAGCAAAAACTGACCAGTTTCAGCTGTTTTGTGTTTTTGGTTTGATATTCACTTAAAATTTTTTTAAATTTTGCTCTTCACAAAACATCACAAGTCTTAAAGCTATGAACATTTACAGAAAATTAAATTGTTTTAAAATCTGGAAAAACTAAGCCTAATAATCTCCAGCTGAATTTTTTATGTTATATTTTTTAAGAAAATCTCAAAGATAAATAAAATAAAATCTAATATTTTAAAAGAAACATTGGAGTTTCTCTTTACTTTTACACATCAATAAACCTCTAACTTTCTGCAGGGCGACAGCTGATCACCCGTCGGCCAATCGGAGGACAGGAAGCAGCTACCGGAAGCGATGTCTCCACAGGAAGCAGGAGGCGGGGCTAGACGGAGCGGCGGATCAGGTGGTTCTTGTCGGGTTCTAGGAACTCGTCCAGCAGAGCGTCCGTCACCTTCCGGAGCTCCACCTCCAGCTGGGACACGTCGCTGCAGGACGGAGAGAGCAGTGATGTCACAGAGGCCCCGCCCACTCCTGTGATGACACAAATCCTCAGCTGACCTTTCTCCTGGTGCGGCGCAGAACTCGGTGTAATACTTGATCTTTGGCTCGGTGCCGCTCGTCCGCAGCGTTGCCACGACGCCGTTCTGCAGCGTGAAGGTGATCATCTGGCTGCTCCTGGAAGCAGGAAGCACCTGTCGGACAGGAAACAGCTTCCTGCTTCAGATTAAACTTCCTGGAAGTTTCCTCAGAACCACCTCGGATCAGAACTGAAACCCCTCGAGCAGAACCACAATCTGAGACGGAGCTTCACTGAGTCCAGAGAAGGCTTCAGGAGTCCAACCACTTTCAGAACCAGGTTCTGAAATTATTTCAAAAACAACCAACAGATTCTGCCTGGTCGTTGTTTTCTGGTGAAACTGAGTCAGAACCCGAGAACACCCCAGGATCCACCAGAACCTCCTTCAGCACCAGTAACTCAGTCCAGTCTACTGTTGCTTTATGGGGGAATTTTTCTGCCATAATCCAAGAGCGCACATTTTCAGTCTGAAAGCAGGATTTCATGTCTTCTCAAAACTTGTGGCAGAAAAACTCCTCCATATTCCTTTAGCTCAGGAGCGTCTTCAGGTCTCCAGGTCTGGGGTCCTGAAACCTTCCTGGTCAAACTCACCTGAACCAGATGGCTGAATTTATTTTTTCCAGTGGTGGGCTCGCTTATGCTAACATGCTAATGCACTAATTGTGGAGCTACTTTTTACTTTTAGGATTTGCTAATTTTGAAAACGTTTAACACACTTAGTGTCCCTAAATAAATCGTTTAGGGATGAATTTCATAACAAAATTTACTTGACTGTTTTGTAAATATTCAGTTACATGAAGTTTGACATTGGCTGCAGCGTTAGCTCATTTTGTGACGGCGACCAACACACACAAACCAAACGGCTAAATTGCCTCTTTACCAACTGTGGGCTCATTTAGCTGTCAATATAATTGACTTTTGCACTTTTGCAAACTTTGAAACCAGTTTGCACACTTAGCTAGAGGACCTGCTGAGGACGACATGCCATGTTGTAGAATGTTCTGTCATAGACGTACGGTGGATACAGAGTTTGGCACGTTAGCTTTGGTTTCTGCTGAGTACCATGTTGGTGTAGTCATTTAGCATCTAGCTAAATAGCTACATTTAGCTAGATGGTGCCCATCGGTGCTCTTTACCTGCTGATCTATCTTTGGGATCCAGATGTACTGAAGCAGAGACCTTAGTGACCCGTATTTAATGGTTCTGCAGCAGTTTGTGAAGCTCCAACATATCATACAGCATTTTTATCATACTGAGGTCTGAACTGAGCTGATTTTAGGAAAATACTGTGACTTGTGAACCGTGAAACTGTTACAATGAAGACCAGCTCCAGGAACCAGGATAAGATCAGAACCTCCAGAGTGGAAGAAGAAGAGCTGCTCTCACTGATCTGAGGTCGGGCCGGCTGCTGTCGTATCCCGTGGTTACGTCCCTGACATGGACGATCCCGATGTCGCCGCACGCCTTTGGATACGAGCCGTCTCCGGCAAAGTTCCTGATCCGGCTGAAGATCCTCTGGATGGTGGGGGGGTCGTTACAGGTGACGTATGAGGTCTTGGACACATGGTAACCATACCTATAGACAGGAAGTGACAAAAAACGAGAATAAAACCGACCTCAGACACCGACGTCTCAAACAGAACAACCTACTTCAGAGTCAAAATAAAGTTAAATTTAAGAGACAAGCACTTTCCTAAACCTTTATACTTGAGCTGCTCAAGTATAAAAATTACTGCATGTCAAATATGAATTTCACTCATACTTGCCGTTATGATGCTGTTCCTTGATAAGAAATGTTCTATGCATAATTTAGCACATTTTTAAATGTTTACTGATCATTCAGGTGATTTTCTCACGGCTTTGAAACCTCGATGTTGATGTTTATGTTGCAGAGGCTGATCTGAGATCAGAACTGTTGCTGTTTGCCACCATCTGGTGGTGAAATGGGAGTACGTTCTGGTATTTTTACACCTCAGCCCCCAACCTGCTGCATCCTACAGTCTCTTACGTCCGGTAGATGTTTTGAAGCTGCTGGTTCAGACTCAACTTCCTGGTCTGCAGGTACGCCGCCATTTCGGCCACGACCACGGCCGCGCTGACGCCATCTTTCTCAGGAACGATGCTACCACAGAGGAAACCTGCAGGCAGAGACTTTGACTGAGTCAGATTGTTTTACAGTTTGAACACAAATTTTTATGCACAGAATGAACCATAAAGAAGCCAGAAGAGACTTTATACAGCAGCTTGGTGTAGTTCTGCTAATCTGCCAGTAGGTGTCACCACTTCAGCTGGTCAGGCTTCTTACTTAATTTTTTTAATTTAATGAAAATCAGAACATGGCTACACATATATTAGATTTTGAGTCACAAACGTTTTCTTTGTGAAAATATCTTGGCTTAAAACCCCCCCGAAAAAAAATAGGAAATATCTTTAAGTTAGATACTAGAAAATAAGCAGTGTTTACAGCGCTCCCTACTGACGGATTAATGCAACTACGAGTTGATTCACTTGGACTCAAAGGTGTTACTGAAATGAAATACTGAGTTATGCTGTCTTCAGATGGCAAGAATTTAAAATTGTTGGCTGATTTTTAAAACCTGAGACCACACAGGTGATAAAAAACACCTTAGCTATAACAGGTCTGGTTTTACAGTGTGTGGTGTTCAGCCATACAAACTGATTTCACTCAACTTTTAACTGTCAGACGGGAAATCTTGCAAAACCTCTCGAAACCAAACATGAGTTTAGAGTAAACAAAGATGGCCAACGAGGAAGAAGCAATGGCAAAAGTTAGTGGACGATATTCAACAGTGAATGTCTTGGATGATCTCCAACTTCCACTGGACTTTCCGTTGCTCCATGGAAGCTGTTCTGTCTTCTGTATTTTCAAGAAAGCAATGTGTTTCTGTCACATTGCTTTCTACCTGGCCACATTTCATCGAGCCAAGACAATCCAACATGTTGAATATCCTCGTGTTTAGTTCAGAGAAGTCCCACCCGACTTCCTTCCAAGCGGACCGGATCACTCTGAACACGTGGCAGGCGTCTCTGAAGATTGCTGGAATTGGAAAATCTGGACAAATTAGCCGTAGAGATCTTGCTGTGTGAATTAGGCTTTACATCACAGTCTGACTGTAATGCTTTAGCAACGGAACACAGTAACAGTCGCTCATCAACAAGTGGTAGCAATTGAGCTGCGACCACCACTGATCATCAGGATCCTGGTTCTGATTGGACCAATGACGATTCTGGGAGTCACACAAACACACAGAGATTTAAAGAGACAGCAGACCATCAAAGTTCTCACCTATAGACTCTTCGAAGGCAAATATGACCCTGTTTCCGGTTTTGGAGAGCTCATGGATTCTGTTCCCGATCCACTTGAAGCCAGGAAGAGTTTCCTGTTGGAGAACAGGTGTCACAAGTTTGTTTCTGCAGAGATCCATCAGATGAACCAGTCGCCTTCAGCTTTTTCTGACCTCAAAGTGGAAACCCTCGATGCGAGCGAAGGCCTGCAGGATCTTGGACGACACGGTGGTGGCCAACATGTAGACGCTGTTGGTGTCTGCTGGGTCTGGATGGCTCTCCTTCCAGTTGAAGAACATCCACCATCCCAACAGGGCAGCCAGCTCGTTTCCTGAGAACACCTTCCACCCGTGCCTGCAACTCAAAGCAGACCCAAATAACCTGCTGGGTGAATCCAGCTAGACTTCCCTGCAGGACGGGGGTCTAACTGCAGCAAGCGTCACATACCCGTCAGATCGCTCGGCCACGGCCAGCCGGTCAGCGTCGGGGTCGGTTGCTAGGACGATCCGAGCGTTTTCCCGCTCGGCCAGGAGGAGTGAGAGCTCCTGGAAAACAGAGGAGGACAATAAACACGGAGGAAACCCAGGAAGTTCTGACTCCACAGAGATCCAGGTTACCAGGACAGACTCTCCCTCCTCTGGGTTTGGGCAGCGAACAGAGGAGAAGTTTGGGTCGGGGTCTTTCTGCTCAGGGACGGGAACGGGCGAGACGAAGCCGAACACCTGAAAGGCCTGCCGGACGAAGTCGTGACCGACTCCGTGGAAGGACGAGTGGACGAACTTTAACGTGCAGCTGCTGTTCAGATCCCTGGAAAACACAGAACAGCTTCAAGGGTTCAGGAAGTTAGCAGAGGAAGTCGGGAGAGAACAGGAAGTTATTGGGGGAAAACAGAGGGAGGAAACAGGAAGTTACCTGTGGAAGCAGAGGGAAGTGAGGTCGTCCATGTAGAAGCTGTTGATCTGGGTCAGGGGGTCGGTCCTCAGCGAACTGCGGTCCACCAGCTCCTCGTCCCAGCAGGAGGCGCTCCAGGGCTCCAGCTGCTCCTCTATACAGCGCAGCACCTCCTTATCATGAGGGGAGGCGATCTGAGCGCCGCTACACCAGTACACCTGCAGGGGGAGACAGAAACATGCTGCACCTCCAGACGGTTCAGATCCTCAGAGCATGAGGTTCTGGATCCGGATCAGACAGATTCATTAAAGGTTTCTGTTTGGGACAGACTCTCCGGACCGGATGAGCGCCGCAGGAGGTTGTGTTTGGTCTGAGTGACCCCTCAGCCTGACCTTGTAGCCGTTGTCCTCTTTGGGATTGTGTGACGCAGTGATCATCACTCCAGATGCGGCTCCCAGTCTCTTCACAGCGTAAGGCTGGGAAACAAAACGTGAAAACAAACAATTTGGTAAAGAGACAGCTCAACCCGGTCAGAAAGTTTCCACAGCTTACAGAAAACTTCCTGTTTTTACAGCAGCAGTTCGTCTGCAGAGGATCTGATTCCTCAGCATCTGATCTGAGATGCTAATTCCAGATCAGATGTTTCACATCAGTAAAACATCTTCTAATCTTTTACTGATGTTTTGTTTCATCAGTTAAAGAAACAAAACAAAAAAAACTCCAAACAAAGCTAATTTGTACCAATCCACACATTTAATAACAGCAGGAACATTTATTATGGATATTTCAACATAAAGAAGTATTCACCTTCTGGAGGTTTTACCTTGTTATTGCTTTATAAATCAGTCAAGATCAACATTTTGGCTTTTTGGACAAAAAAAAAGTCTTAATATCAAAGCAAAAACTGATTTATACAAAATAATGTTAAATAAAAACAATATGCAACATGAAATGAGTATTTAACTGTGACTGATCTAGTCAATTGGTGCTCGCAGCCTCACAATGAGTGAGAAAAACTCACTAAAAAGGCTTGAATATTTATGGAATCACTTATTTTATGTTACACATTTTTATCTGATTTAAATTATTTTGTAGAAATCCATTTTCACTTTGACTTTAAAACATCATGTCGATCATGATTGATTTGTAAATGAGCTAAAAAGATAAATCATCCAAGGAGGTGAATAGTTTTTATCAGCAGTGTGAGATTTTAGAGAATTGACCAAACTGAGCGCGCTCAGACTGCTGCTGTTTATGCACCATCAGCCTGTTAAAACAGCAGAATATTCCTTTAACAGTGACATCACTTCTGCAGGAAGTGATGTCATTGAGCTTCCTCACCACGTAAGGAGTCGGGACGAACGAGGAGAAGAGATGGACAGGAACGTCTCTGCTAAGCATCACTGCAGCCGTCAGCTTGGCCAGCCTGGGACGGACAAACACACAGAGACCTGGATCAGGAAGCAGGACGCGTCCAGGGGACGGACTTCCTGTTGCACTTCCTGTCTGGGTGCCGTTCCATCTCTGTACCAAATCCCTGGAAACAAAACCGGATGGAGAGTTCCTGCTGTTCACCTCTGACTGCTGCAGCCGCTCTCCTCCTGACCTCTGGTGTCGTATCCAATGACGACGCCCCGGCTGCCGAGGTCAGCAAAACACCTGCACAGGTACGCATGAAGGCCCTGAAAGGGGCGGAGCAACAGGTCAGATGGACAGGAACGGGACCAGTTACACTGGTCTGCAACCAGTATGAAAGAGTTCTTATTGGTGTAGTAACTGGTCTGCAGCCTGATTGGACTGGTGTATGAACTGGTGAGTAACCTGTGAGGACTGGATGACGGTGAGGTCGTTGATCCGGTTGAATCCGGCTCCCATCGGGGCTCTGAGTCCGGCTGTACCGAAGCTCATCCGGCTGCAGAGTCTGGACCGCAGGTCCTCCAGGCGACCCGCCGCCACCAGAGACTCCACCTGAGCCCGAGTCCATTTGTTCTGCAGAAAATTAACACAGCCTGATGACACCGAGTTCAGAATAATGTTCTGACCAGTTCAGGTTAACTGGCCTGAGCCGGACCCAACCCGGTTGTAATCTGGTTCTGGTTTCAGACTGCTTTCCTTCTGATTGGCTTTTATTGGCGTGTTTCTGCTCTGAGGATAAAGATAGAAATCTGAACATGAGGGAAGCTTTTCCCAGCTGCTGACATTTACAGAGCAGGTCACGGTGACCTTTAACCCACAGAGCTCTGACTGCAGGAGCTCTGTGGATATCCTGACATATCCTGATGTCAGGATATCATCCCCTGATATCCTGACATCAGGGGATATCAGGAGTTTAATTTGGTCTCATTATGTAATCTGGGTATGAGACGTAATTTGTGGAAAAAATAAATTGTTCTGCTCTGCCTTTACCCAGCGCTCACTACAAACAACCAATCAGAGCCAGGAGGGTCTTTGCACTGTCAATCATCCGTGTGTGTGTGTGTGTGTGTGTGTGTGTGTATTTAGCTTGGCCATCGATTACGGTGGATAAATGATTTTTAGGAACAATAAGTTGTTTCTTTGCCATTAGCACATTGAGCAGCGAGTTTGACTTACAGCGCTAAGCCCCTCCTCCTGGCTCTGATTGGTTGTTTTTTTGTCAGGAGGAGGTGGATGTTATCACACTGTGATAGTTCTAATACATAAATGTTTTTGTTTTTTAAGTTACATACTGCAGCTTTAACAGCAACAACTGCTTTTATTTCCAGGCCTGCTGTAATGTGTGCTGAGAGTTTACAGAACATGAAACTGATGCTGATTTATTTTGATTGTCCTAAATGATGACTGGACCCTCTGCAGACCTGATGCCCCTGATGAAATGACAACATGAACATGCATTAACAGTTATCACATGAATCCATCTCAATCAGGCTCTGATGGGGCAGGTTCCGGGCTTTTCCTGCAGGCTGGAGCTGAGGATGGTAATAAATCCAAACACTGGGCCTTTCATGACTCAAACAGTTTAGTCACGCTGCTACCTGATTACCCACACATTATTTAATCTGCTGTTCCCACTAACCCTGATGAGCCCTAACTCAGAGCCCCCATATTCAGACCCAGAGGTTTAGCGTTCTTAGTCCACAGACTGAAACAATCAGAACCAGCAGTGCTGTCTGCGAGTTTTCTGTACTAACCTGATCTGAGGATAAATTCGGCATACATTGTTTCAGTTCAGGAATGTCCGTTCAACAGTGATCTCATCGTTTTTAACATCTCATTTAAACGCTCTAAACAAACACCAATTAAAGTTCTGACCTAAAGTGTTTCTATGTTAGAAAATAAATGGGCCGATTTTTCCAGAAGGCGTCAGATATTGTTGCCCCAGTTTCTTTTAATCCTCTTTGTGTTTTTCAGCTCGTTTATGTGAGAATCAACGGTGAAGCTGTGTGTTTTTAGGGGAACTCCGGGGTAACGGTTACCGCTGCCAGGCTACAACCGCAGAACCCGGAGTCCGAGTTAACGGGTAGACAGACAAACACTCACCCTGTCCCAGTCCAGCCACTGCTGCACCGCCTTGTCCAGCTTTGGGTCCCCGGTTCTCCGCCACCCCAGGTTCGCGTTTAGGTCCCCATTTCCTCCGGTTCCCACGGTGTCTTCCATGCCGACAGACCGGAGCGGGCTAACTAATGCTCAGCCATCAGACTGGAGGGAACAGCTGCTGTGTTTGCCGGCTCTCTGGGCTCTGTTGCCTTTTCCCCAGCAGCACGCTGTCACTGCCAGGTTGTTGTTGCAGCTGCAGTGCGTCAGCACCGTCCGCCTCTTCCTCCAGGCAGCTAACGTACCGTTAACCGCAGCTAGCCGCTGTTAGCGCCTTCCATGAAGTTGGCTTCCGATTCGTAGTAAAACTAAAGGACCATTCTAATTTTTTTTAAATAATTGGACTACGTCAGATATGGATTACAATATAAAATACGTTGACTCTTCAGAACTACCATGAATTATTTATATTTTAGGAGCATTTGGTGAAAATATCAATTAAAAAACGTTTTATGTGTAATATAAAGGTCTCACTGATCTGAAATTATTCAAGAATATACAATTTTTGTAGAATTCAATCCAATTGTGACCAGTATGATTATTACTGGATTCTGATCTAGAACTGATCAAATGTGTTTTATATTCTTTGACAAAAGTGGCACGTTTCTTTGAATCAGATACCGACTTCAGTGCAGAAAAAATGTTAGTCAAAAATGAAACTGTGAACCGGATCCTTTCACAATAAAATAGAATTATTTTTATTCACAAGCTTTGTGCAGACAGGCAAGGAATTAGACTTTCATTCTAATTACTTTGAATGAAGACATTTAACATGTATAACAAGGATAAAATATTAAAAAATGTTTTTTGTATATTTTCCAGTGTTTTTACACAAGAGGGAATTAGTGCAAATATTGATCTGAGTGTCTGTTAAGTGTCCATCAGAGACATTCTGGAGGGAGAAACCGTCTCTGTAGCACCGAGCTGAATGTGAAAGTCTAATCAGTTTGTGTCCAGGATGTGTGGGGTCTGCAGAAACGTTAGCTGCCCTTTTCCTGATCCCAGAAACACTCTGATGGTTCCTTTCAACATAAAATACTCAGATACAAATATAAACACTGAAAACTGAACCGACTGATATGTTTCCACATAACAAGCAGGTTTCGTCTGTTGTTCTGAATCAGACAACAAACAGGTTCATCGTCTGATCTCTTTATTTTATATGAAAAACAACGGAGGTATAATTCACAGCTTTAGTGTTCCTGATTCTTAAAAATTTTTTGTTGTCAGTGGAGGAGAAAAAAGGCATCATGAGTGAAACAGTTTCTACGCAGGCGACGCGCCGCCGTTCCGGTCGGGTTCTGGCGTTTCTGCCTCCGTCAGCCGGCAGCTGAACTGCTCCCTGAAGGCGTCCAGCAGGTGAGGGACGGCTTCCTCCACGCCGACGTCTCTCTGCAGCTCTCTGCTCAGCGACGTCACGCCTTTGCCTTGGATCCCACACGGCACGATGTGGTCAAACCACGACAGGTCCGTGTTGCAGTTCAGAGCCAAGCCGTGAGACGTGACGTAGCGGCCGCAGTGGATTCCTGGGAACACAAACACTGGTCAAACTGAGGCGCTTCCATCGGCTCTGCCAAGGCTGATGACAGGAGAACCAAGATGGAGAATAAACACCAAACCAACTGGTTACAGGTTGCTTTATTCTGTCACATCACCACTCTGTCCACCAGGACTACGGGCCCAGTGGACCGTCAGCAGCTGGGGTAGCAGAATCTGAGTGAAGTTGGCTCCTCCCCTTCTTTAATTCAAACCAAATTGGTGTCAATTGTTTGTGCAGCAAACATTTTTATATCCTATCATTTTAAAAAATATTAATGAAAAACCCTTTCAACCAGTCCTTCCCACATTTACAAAATCAAATAAAACTTCCAAACAAAAGCAGCACAAATTATTTTTTGCAGCACCAACCAGCATAAATGTAGTAGAGTTGACTGATGCCAATTTTGTTTGACTTGAAGAAGGTCAAACAACGTGACCCAACGTCACTGAGGTAAGAGCTGAACCCTACGACTCAGCATTCGTCAGGCCCGTCGCCTTCAGTTCTCTAAACTCAGGTGGTTGTTCTGTTCAGATCCAACAAAAACTGGAGGCTGACAACATGCTTTCATGTCTCCAATGGCAAAATTCTCTAAAACACCCAACAAATACAACAGAAAAATGTTGCAAAAGAAAAAAAATGCAAATGCAGAAACAAGCAGAAAGTATTAAATCCTGCAGACTTGATCCACAAAGCAGAAGTCCTCCAGACCACTAGGGGAGCCGACCACCAACTATATAGAACCAGACACAGTAGACAGAAAATAGAGAAAAGTTGCCTTTTATGTCATGCTTATTTCATAACATCCAGGCTTTTGCAATATTATAGAACAGCAGTATATGTAATGTGATGGACTCCAGACTCCCCCTAGTGGCCTGGAGGATTTCGAAGTGACTTTGCAGAGCTGCTGTCATTTTTGCTATTTGTGGTATTTTCCTTTTTGTTTCCATTTGTGTGTTTTGGAATTTGCATCATTCATGTGTTTGCAGTTCATTTCGCCGTTTGCTGCATGTTTGCAACAATCAGCCACCATATTTCTGTAGCAGCAGAATCATGTCACCACGTCTGCTGCTTTGTAGCGCGTCACACTCTTTCCCCAATCGTGTGTTAGTTTAGGGTTCATGAGCCCAATCTTGGTGGGTCGACTTCAGACCCTCTTATTTTGTTTCTGGATCTTTCAGCTGAACCTGAGGTGCAATAAGTAGGTTTAAAATCACAGAAAGAAAGAATGACCTAAAAGTAGAAGTAGAAAAAACAAAACTTCCATAAAGAGGCACAAAATTTGCTGGAAAGAGGCAAAGAACTAAATAAAAACGCAAAAAATAATCTATGATTTTTAAGAATCATACTGAGGCACAAAATAACCAAAGAAAGGCAAAAAATAACGCAAAGAGGAAAGAAACCACTTGATCAATTTAAACAATATACACATCCACTACTAAACCACTGCAAAGATCTGTTGCAAGGTTCAAATCTGCTTTCAAAAAACTTGCTGAAAAGAACCACACAACCTCCATAACAATCAAAAAACATGAAAAGAAGTAAAACTGCAGCAGACATAAAAAACCACCAAAAACTGAATGTAAAGATGGAAGAAACCACTATAAACAGACACTGATAAACAGACACTGATAAACAGACTCAAAACCACCATAAAAACGCACTAAACCACAGCAAATAGGTGCAAAACTGTCTGAAAGAACCACAGACCCATAAGAGACACAAGCAACTTATGAAAAGAAGCAAAACTGCAGAAAAAAGGCAAATAAAAAACCCATCAAAGTTAAACAGAACAACCATACAGAAACAGAGTTTTAGTGCTACTACTGCAGATCAATGAACAAAAACATAATTTGGCCACAGAGGAGTAAATATCCGCCATAAAACTCAGGGAATTCAACATTAATATGGACATATTTCAAGTAACATGATTATCATGACGACAGTGGCAACTCCAGCAGAGGGATCGGGGGGCCCAAGGCCCCTTCTGGAAAATGCTAGCAACCCCAATAGCCCCCCTGAGAATCGTGCTAAAGTCATAAAAATATATATAGAACAAATCCAATAAATAAATTAATTTATGAAAAATAATATTTACAGAAATAAATAAGTAAGTCTGGTTACGTACCGATGGCGCAGATCTTCTTGTCTCCGACCCAGACTCCCGTGTGAGGAGACGTCGCTGCTTCCACGCCGAACCTGCTGCACAGCGCAATGACCGTCTTCTCCAGCTGGCCCACGTACCACCGGACGCTCTGAGGGAACAGAACCCGCGTCACAACCAGAACCACAGACGCCATCGGATCTCAGGCCGCTCAGGTCCGACCTTCTCAAAGCTCCCCAGGTTCAGCACCGGGTAGCAGACCAGCTGACCCGGTCCGTGGAAGGTGATGAGTCCTCCTCTGTTGGCGTGGTGGACGTCGGCCCCCAGCAGCCGGAGCCGGTCCAGTACTGGACCCGGGTATGGTTTGTGCCGGATCCCAGTGGTGTAGACTGGCGAGTGCTGGCAGAGCAGCAGCGTGTGGGCCGGACCGAACCGGTGCCGGTCAGTGTAGACCTGCTGCAGCCTCAGACCCTCCTGATAGGACACCAGGCCCAGACGGACCACCTCCACCAGGGGCCTGGCGGTCTGCATCCAGAACTGCAACGGGACCAAATCCAGTCAGAACCAATAAGTTCAGAACCAACAAATTGACTCATTCTGACAAGAAACGGGTCATCTCAGGATTCTTCTAAATATTCTGACATGTTTTGTCAGGAAAAGCTGGGAACATTTCCGGGTCAAGTTCCTGCAGCTTTAATTTGTTCAGAGAAGCTGGACAGCCAAAGTGAAGGGCGCATACAGAATCCCCCTGAGATTCTACTTGTTTTTAGACTTTCCTCGGTACCGCAGCGGTCCAGAATCTGCAGTGAGAACAAACGGGTCCAATCTAGCCTGCAGAACCTCACACTGAGTTCGGCTGCCTGGTTTCACCGGCTGCAGTCAGAAAAGAGCTGCTTCAGGAGGAAACTCTGATTCTCCGAGCTTCAGAACTAGAAGCTCGGTTCTGGTCCGGTCCAGACAGCAGGTGAACCTCAAACCTGATCCAGGAGACTCACCTGTCAACGTCACCGCGTGCTCGCCCAAGTCCTCTACCTGTCAGCTGTGGAATCCGCGTGGGTTTCCGGTTTACCGCCGCACTTTCAACCGGAAACACACAGAGGCCTTCATAATAAAGCTGTTCAATTCTGAATTATAGATAGAGTTCTGGGGACGTTTACATGTGGCTTTATATGAAGGAAAAACATAAAAGAGCAATTCTAAGAGAAATCACAACTGGCCCCAGAAACAGCTCCTCAGCACTATGGTTTAATTCACCGATATCAAAAATTTGGGATGATTACCAATATTTACACCTCTTGAAAAAATTCTACACCTTATTGTTTCTCTGCTTCAGTGAAACACCCAATAATTCAACTTAAATCCATTGGGCAGCAACTACTGACTCAATTAGTAATTGACTATTGTGACTTTTCAAATAAAAATAAATATACACATTGTGTAGATTTTTCAGTTAATCACTTAAGCCTTTTATACAATATTAGAAATACAATAAAACACAGACATAGACAGAGTATATTGTCATCCAATTAAATTCAAAATGCAATAAAGAATTAAATTCCTTTTTAATAAGAAAATAAAACATTTTATTGTGTTCCGAATAAATGATTCTGTGTTTATCCATAACAATTGCCTAAAATGCAGCAACATAGCATCCCTTTAGCATGCAGCTAAAAATACTTGCATCAATATATGAAAATGAGGGTAGGACTGATTTTGTAATTATTATTATTATTATTATTATTATTATTATTATTATTAACCGATTCATGATTGGATAGCAAAAGACACTTTTTTTCCTTTTTTTTTTTGCAGAAATTGAACCAGGTGAAGCTAAAACTTTGCCACTTGAGGAATTTTGAGTAGCACATACAAAGTTTTCTTTGTTGTTGTTTTTTACTTAGATGAAGAATGTATACATTTTTGTACAATTTTTGGATAATTTCAGTTCTGAGTATGTTGCGTCGTATCATATTACGTTGGGAATTTGTGCTTTTATTTTGAAAATTCTGACTCCCGCCACAGTAGGCTCGCGCCGCTGTGTCCCGGCTCTTCGGTTGGCGGGCTGCACGCGCGTCCAGCTCGCGCTCGCGCTGTTTTCGGCAGGGGGTGGGGTTTGTTTTCGGAGCGGACCTGAGAGACAAGATGGCGACCGCAGGGTTCGCCGAACAGCGATCCACTCAGGCCGGTACCGCCGCAGACACCTCCAGGTCACGGCCCGGCACGGCAGGAGCCGCCCGGTGCCGCTCCGGGTCCGGACCGCCGGAAAAGTGCTCAGCCTGCTCAGAGAGCCGGTCTGGGTCGGGGACTGGGACGGCCTGTTCCCGGTGCCTGGCCCGGAGAGTCCCGGGCAGAGAGGAGCGAATCCGGAGAAGAAGTGACCCCGAGAGAGGCAGCAGCAGAGCGGGAAAGAGGGACAGCGAGAGCCGGAGAGGTGAGTGTGTTTAGCGGGGAGAGAGCAGCTCACAGGGCGCTGAATCTGTCCTGGCGCCGGGGTTCGGTCCTCTGAAGAGCTGCTGGAAAAGAACCGGGAATAAACTGATTTATTCGGAACTTTAATAAAGTTGGGTGTAATAAACAGCAGGAATTTGCAGTGAAAAGAGCAGCGGTGGACTGGGTTCGGTCCCGCTGCGGAGCGGTCCGGGTCCGTTCGGACTGCGGACGTATTGGGATCGGGACGGTTCGGTGTGAATATGATAGTCACCAATCAGTCCCAGATAAATCAATGAAAACATCAGGTGAACACATGACTGTCCTGTGAGGAGCTGCTGCTCCGGTTTATCCTCTTTCTGCGCAGTTTGAGGCTTTTTTCTCGTTTTTTTTTCTGGTTTGTTCAACACTTTCTGCTCAGTTTAATGGATATTTCTGGTCATACTTTCTGATTTGTTGACCGGTTCTGGTCAGTCAGTTTAGTTTGCATCATGTAGGACTTGTCCAGACATGTACAGACACAGGAGGAGCTCAGTTATACAGACCTGGTAGTAGAACTACAGTACTCTGTACTGCTCAGTTCATTTTGAATTACTCTGTTGGGACTTGTCGAGGTTTGTGGTGGAAGCCACTGGGAGTTCTGGTCCCAGTTACCGGAGGAAGTAAGACCTGGAAAGAGGAGCTAAATCTTTAAATATCTCAGAATAAGGAAAATGTTACCTAATTTAAATAATTAATAATTTGCTTTTAGTTTAACAGCTGCATGACAAGATTCAGTTGTTATTGTGCTGTATTTTTGTTGTGCTTCATGAATGATACATTAAAAACATATTATTCATACATTATAATGTTATTAGATGCCTATTTAAGGTGAAACAACTCGAGGTGCACCGATTGCAGTTTTCTGTCTGATCGCGGATTTTAAAGGGGCAGTATTACATAAAATCAACTTTTTGAGTGTAACATCGTGTTAGAATTTTATTCCCACATCATAAACAAACCTGGTGTGTCACTTTGGTTCTGTCATGCATGTTTAGGAGATCCTTTAATTTCCGTGGCAGCCATTCTGCTGGGTGGACCTAGCCCCGCCTTCGAGGCGCAGCTCCTCCTCAGCTTCCTCATGGACCAGCCCTCCCTCTTGATTCTCCTGCTCAGATCCTTCAGACTAGCCAGCAGTAATTAGCAAACAGCTGGTGGAACTGCTGAGCTTATTACAGGAGCTACTGCTCAGTGAAATGCTGGTAAAAAGAAAGGTTTTTACAACATAGAGGAGCCATGTTGGGATGACTTCCTGGAGGCGGAGTTTCAGAAAGAGCAGGAGTTTTTAGAGATAAAGACCCAATTTCAAGGCTTTAAATTACGAAGTAAAAACTTTTTTATATCATATTTGACACATATATAGATATATATATGTCATTTTATAACAAATTAAGTAAACAATAGTTATTTGATTATGCTATAAAATGGCACTAGGTGCTTGGAAAACACATAACACTGGCCCTTTAAGTAAAAACATTTTCCAGGCACACTGTGTCATCTTATAGTAATCAAGTAACTATGTTATCTTAAATTGCAACATAGTTTAATGCTATATATTTCAAATGTGACTTAACAAAAATTTGACTTTGTAATTTAACGCCTTAAAATTGGGCCTCTGTTTCTTTAAGAAGCTCCTGCTCTTTCTGAAGCTCCGCCTTCAGGAAGTCATCACAACATGGCTTCTCTATTAACCCTTTAACAACGTTTTACCAGCATAAAATGCAGGAAAGAATCAAGGCAACACTCGAGACATGTTTAGGATGAGGGAATAACTTTATAACGTAAAGCTCAAAGAGTTGATTTTCCATGACACCGCCCCTTTAAATTTAGTGAGGAGGCAGAAAGAATCCTGTTGGCTCTCTGGTTCTGATGGCTACGGAGGCCTGGTTGGATCATGTTCAGGAACAGCGTCTCTGTTTCTGTTTTGCTCCCAGGCGTCTTCGTCTGTCCGACCCTGCCGAAGTCTGCGGACGCTCCTGCGGCTCCAGCTGTGAAGCTCAAGGTGAGTCTGGGAGCTTTCAGGAAGTCTCTGCGTCCCGAATATGGTCAGGAATCTGTCCCGCCTCTTCCTGTCCAGCTGCTGGCATCCGACGACCGGGAGGAGATCCAGAAGTGGAGCTGCCTGATGGGGAAGGACGAATCCGGGTCGGTTCGACGCGCGGTGGAGCCGGTGAGTCCAACGGATCCAGAACCCGTCCATCCTTCCTGTTCTGTTCCTCAACCCGCCGCTCTTCTCAGGGGGTTCTGTCCGACTCTGAGAACGAGGAGCCCATCAGCAGGAGGATCCGGAACATCTCCGCCTTCATCAGGAAAACCAAGAACTCCTCAGCCGTCAGCAGGTGAGCGGAGCGGCCTGAGACATCGGCACTCCTGGAGTCCGACCTTTGACCTCCCGTTTGCTCCTTAGTGGTTCCCGGAGGAGTCGGAGCTGCACCGACCCCCTGGAGGACCGGGGAGGGAAGATGAAGGCGATCGTCCCGCCAGCGGCCGTCATGGAGCAGGTGGGTTGGATCAGAACCGCCGGACAGTAAATCAGTCCATGTTTGTTATCACAGGCCTACGGATGCGTTCTAACCCGGCTCTGTCAGAATGTCAGCAAATCCTTAAAATGTCGTAAAAACTCTTAAATTCATTAAAGAAAATGTAAGTTGACTTTAAACTCGACTTGTCGTGAAATGTCACAGTTTTGTTCCATTTCTCTTGTACATTTCTGTTGAGATAAAGGTCTGAAATTTTATTCACAATTGTCTTAAAATGTCTTAAATTTATTTTTTTTTAAATGCAAGTTGGCCTTAAATATGCCTTGTTGTGGTGGATTATTTAATCTCACATTTTCTACATCGGTTTTTTTCACAGAACTTTCTATAAGGCAAAAGTTCGAGTCGCACACAGACATCTTCACTCACTGACTCAAGCCTCAAGGCTACCAAGAACATGCTGCTAATGCTTGCTAGGTAGCCAGTTTGCTTGCTACCTTCTTGATAGCTAGCAAGCAAACACAAGCAAGCCATTAGCAGCTAGCATACAGCTCTTTAGCTAGCCAAGTAGCAGATATGGCTCTACTAGATAGCTGAGAGCCATGTCCCATTTCCTTACATGAGCAGCACAAAGCTGCTCCAAGAGCAACAAAAACTTTCCTTCATGTGTTTTGCACGTCCTGTCATGATGTCAGAATCATTTAAAAAAGTCTGACCTTTGTGTTGGTGAAGCCTGCAGTAACGCTGTCCGTCACCGTCCTGCAGGTGGGCATCAGCCACAGCTCGGCAGCCGGCATCCTGCTGTCGTCGGAGAACAGCCGCTCCATCTCAGCGCCCATCACGGCGCCGGACCGCAGGCTCACCTGGAGGGCGGTGCTGACGTCATCGGCGCCTCTGGGTCTGCCGCCGCCGCCGGCCCGCGCCGAGCGTTCCATCAGCCCCGAGAGCAACGACAGCATCTCAGAGGAGCTCAACCACTTTAAGCCCATTGTCTGCTCGCCGTGCACGCCGCCCAAGCGGCTGCCTGACGGCCGCCTGTTGGAGCCCACCGTCGTCAAGGCGACGCCACGCAACCTGAGCCGCAGCCTGCAGAAGGCCACCAGCTACGAGGCGAGCCCGGCCGTCCTGCAGAAGTGGCGGCAGATTGAGCTGGACCGGCAG